TTCTCATTTTGATTTCTGTTTCAATTTTGCTATCATTTGTTACTGCATGTCCGAGATAGGAGAAACATGTTACTTGTTTTATTATCACTCCATTTACTGTGATGTTTACTACTGATCGCTCTTTTTCATCGTCAATTGCCATAGTTTTAGTTTTTTTTTTAATGTTAAGGCTAGAATTTAGAAGCCTAGTTAAGTAAGAGAAATTTCGGTTTCAAGAAGGGAATGGGCTGTGCAAATGACATATTTTGATGAAAGTACTCGAACAGTCAGTTGAATATGATAAACGTCAACAGCTTATATTTGCAGATCAAGAGAAAGCATTTGATTAAGTCAGTAAAAACTATGGACAATTCTAGAAGATTAGGATTTTCAAGATCAACTGTTGGATTACATCCTGGCTCTTTATCAAGATTGTCTGTGCACATTAAGAACCACAGAAGGAATGAGAGATTGGTTTCCCATCTCATCAGATGTCAGACAGGAATGTGTCTCACTGCTTCTATTCTTACATGGACAGAATAAAAGTGTCTTTGTTGCTATGTGCCCCTGCAGCTTGTGATGGATCTTGTGCAGTGTCAAAAAATAGTGGTTTGAAATGCCGCATTAAGTGAGAATGCAGCTTGACCAAACTGCATATGAGATGTTTTGGAGCATAACATCTGGGAGGAAGGCAAGGAAAAGACCAAGAAAGAGATAAATGGTGTAGATGAAACTTGGAAAAAGGTTAACAACTACCTCACCCAAGCCACCCGAGAAGTGCAAGACAAATACAGAAAACAACAACACTAGGCTACAACCTGTTATTAGTGAGATGACAAAAAAGAAGAAAAAAAAAGAATAATAATTCTAAAAAAATATTTTGCACTCCACCTTTTGACTTCAACCACTAGGTCTTGTAGCTCCTGTTTGCTTCCTGCTGTTAACACTGTCTCATCTCATCTTGGATTGTTTACTATTCTCTCATTAATTTTCAGTCTAAACAATTCTACAACTTGTTTAAAAATGTTTTCTGTATATAAGTTGAAAAGGCTGGGGGATAACACACATAATTGATGCACTGGTAAAAAGTCTTATCTAAAGTGAAGCTATATTGTTGTCTAACCGTTGCTGTTTGTTCCCAGTTAGTTATTAGTTGATCAACAGATGATACTCATAGCATATCGGACAAGTCCATGAGTGATTAGATCCCATCTGTACTATATCCCCCAGTGTGTGGCACCTGATAACACCAGTTCTTTGTTGGCTTACTATTCTTCTTTAGCTGCCTATATAGTGTTCATGTTTGGCGACACCTCTTTTAACCTGAAGTTCTTGTAGTCTTTTGAGTGTTGCAGACTCACCATCTTCTCCTAAATCACCTTCTCGTCCTGTCTGCTCGAGAGCATTGAGAATATCGGTCCAGTCCATAGCTTTTCCTGTACCTACCATGGCCCTGCCAGCAAGCCAAGCCACTTGTTCATTCTTTTTTACCTCAGAGTGTCCTGGCACAAAAAATTCCTATCAGATGAGATTTCTTCAGTGACTCTAACCATTTTCTTTGAATCCATCCCATCTTAATCTTCTTAAGCATGCTCATGGAATAATCTAGAAAGTACGCATTGGAAAAATGCTGTGTCTGTAGCCATCACCTCCATAATCAGACTACTTGTAAAGACAAAAACCCTGCTGTCTTTTTTTTTTCAGTTAACCCTCGAACTAGAACTGTTAAAGCCCATGTACTTGTACATGTCGAATGACAATTCCCAATATATATATATTTATATATATATATATAGAGGCATGCAATAAGCTTTTCGTGTGGCACCCTGTCAAGGACCTTGTAATCTATAAAACATGCATAAATACATTTCTCAACTTCTATATATTTTTGTAGGTAACATCTTTAGACAAATTATGGCTTCCTTATTGCCAGTGTTTTTATAAAACTAAAAACTGTTCCTTTGGCTTCCTTCATTATTTGATTTTGAATTCTTGCTTGTATGATCTTGAGAAGTATTTTTGTTATATGACTCATTAAATTAATCCTTCTTTATTCTTCGCACTGAACTGTCATGTCATGAGGAGGAGAAAACTGGAGTACATCATTACAGTAGGAAAGTTGCAAGGAAAGGGGTCTGAGGGAGACCAAGGGAGAAGATGCTGGACAGTTTAACATCATGACATAGAGGATCATTTGTATAAGAGTTGATTGAAAGTATACTAGATAGAAGGTTGTGGATAGACATGCTAGTGCTGCACGGCATGGACTTTGAGAAGAAGAAGTATGTGATGCTTGTAGAAATTAAAGCCCAGCCCTCTTTCCACTTAATGTTTCAAGTATGAAAATATTAAAACAAAAGCCAAGAAAATAAATTAAATCATTGTTAATGGGAAGGATAAATCTGATAGGATATAACATTATTTTTTTTGTTTATTATGAAAATTAGGCAGTTGCTAGAATTTTACTTTTGGGTCGGCAGTAGGTCTATTCTTGTTTTTCCCTATATTAGGGCCCCGGAACCCCTACAGGGATTCTCTTCATAATTGAGTTTATAGTCAATAAGAATAAAAAAGGTGATCAACATGCTTTCAGATGTTGTGCAGTAAAACCTTGTTAACTTGAAATGGTTTGAAAAGATCACTCTGTTAACATGAACAAAATTTGCATCTCAACAGTGATGTATTACACAACAGTGTATTTTTAGTCTCTGGTAAGCACACATAAAAAAAATGTTTAAATTCTTGATTTTTTGGTCACTTGGAGTTCATGTCAACAAGGTTTTACTAAATATTTCTTCAGTTTCAGCCTGATTTTACTTGTCAATCAGCAAATAGTAATCTACATCTCTAAAATCGTTCACATCATGCGCAGATGATCTACATTTCTTGTTAACCCTTTTAAGATGGAGCCTTTTTGGAGTTTCGGTGCCAAGAAGACGGAGCCTTCAAAAGGGGATTCTAATAGTTTATACAAAAAAAATTGCCCGGCTCTCTAGCGAAGTTGGTTAAACCTGACTTTCGCAGCGGCCGGGTGACGAACTCCTTGTGGTCCGGGTTCACTCCCGGGGGTAGGCAGAAAAGCCACATTTCTCCCAGATTAACGGTACCTATAATGGAATCAAGGCCGAAGGGTTGCGATATCCATAGTACCGAGCCAAAGGGTTTACAACTCATGGTTTCTGGATACGTAAAAAAAAAAAAAAAAAAATACAAAAAAATTAACATAAAAAAAAAAATATATATTCAGGTAGGAAATTTAATGAACTAACAGAACATTTATGTATCAAACTGAAACTTAAAATTGTTTCCAATTAACTATTCTGATTTGCATAATTAATTTAAGCAATTTTTGTAAAACTTGGGAACAAACATAGCTAACCTGAAAAATGTGGGTGAATTTTTTAATGGATGAAGCTTGAATGAGTCCTAACACCTGCATTTTGGGAAGTTAGTAATTTGGAGGCCCTTCAATCACCTCTGGCACATGGTTCTACTCTTTTTCCTGCCTACAGCTATGTTTTGGTTGCTATGACACAACAGCCTTTTTCCCCATTTTTGGGCAGAGGTAACCCCAGAATAAAATTGATGTAAAATTACAGAAAACATCAGACTTTCTCAAAAGCTTCAATGAACAGCCCACATGTGCAAGAAATGCGAGAAGCAGTCTGATTGGCTGGTACGAAAACCTGCCAGCTAATATAAAGGCTTCTATTAAATAAGGCCGACTGATCGGCCCAGTAGTCCTTTTGGCTACTTTGTGTTGGGCTGATATTTCGGACGCGTCGTGCCCAAAGGGTTAATACATGTATGACCAATTTGATTCACAGTTTGTTGGTTTTGTTAAATGTTATGCTTGTGAAAAAAACTCTTCCACCCATGATATAATAATTCACTGAACACACTTTGGTGAGTAATTATGCTTTTGCTCATTGTCTCAAACCTGTGTTTTCCCAAGATGTCTTCAAAACTCACATTTTCAATCTTATCCTTACATTCAGGCCACTGATAAAATTATGAATAGTGATGTGTTTAAATAAACATTTACCTATAGTATTTTGAGTCGGCTCTGTGGCTAAGTCGATGCAAACGCTTCATAATGACAGAATGCCGGGTTCAATCCCAGCTGTGGGCCAAGCGCCTTGCGTTGGTTTTGACAGTAGTATCAAGAAAGCCAGAGGCTGTTGGGGTTGGTTCTGCAACGTCCTGTAAAGGATACGCAACAACCAAAAAATAGTATTTTGAAACTTGAAGTAAAATTCCTGGCTAATTCATTCATCCTTATCATTGGTTGCATTTAATTACATTCATATTTACTTTCTTTTTCATTTTTTTGAATATCATTGTTATAATTCTACAACTCACAGCTTCCCACAATCTGTATCAAAACACTAGTTATCAATATAATGCAGACACACATATAAGATACTAATCATATGTTACAGTGCAAAACAGATGTCAGGAAGGTAACATAGTTTATTGATGAACAGCAGAGTATGTTATAGGAATCAACACAGTTTATTTCAAAAGCAATCATCCAGTCTGTGCAACTAATCAGATCCTACAAATGGCGGACACAGTAAGTCAGACGAGGCAACATCAAATAAATATTGCATTTACAAAAAGAGTAAACAGAGCCTAAAGAAATCTAGCCAAATTTTAATAATTACACAGAGATAGGGGCTGTGCAATAGGGAAAAAAGTGACAGTACAAATACTAAGTTAAATATCTTAAAAGTAAAAAAACAAAAAAGTACTTAATGTTTAAAATAAAAGAATGGAACAGTATCGGTGGAACAGATCAATATAGATAAATGGATGCACAAATACTCTGAAGAACTACATTATAACAGCAAATCAGATATAAATATCCAAGATAATTGTGAAAATCCATCAGTGGTTGCTTTAGAAGTTGTGGATGCACTAAAATATATGAGAATAGGAAAGATATCAGATACACATCCAGAATGGCGGCTTCTGTATAAATTTTATTTTAACAATTTCAATTTCCAATTTTTTTTCAGAGTGTAACGATCGACAAGATACCAGATAAAGTTCTCTTGCATATCTTCAGCTTTTTACGACATTGTGAGCTGGGCAGAGTTGCCCGTGTTTGCAAAAAGTGGCGACTTCTTGCTTATGATAATCGCCTTTGGACTCATGTTTCTTTGCGACCTGAGTTTTCTGGTCTACACATTTACAGCCCCGAAACTTTGCAGGCCCTCATTGGAATTCGCTTTGGTTCTGCTCTTCGCTATATAGAGATTCCAAGTGATCTTATTACAGCCCCTGTTCTTCATGAACTTGCCAACAAATGCCCTGCACTTCGGTATGTTTGTGAAAAAAGATTAATGGACCAGTTTGTTTTATCTTAATATCATTATTTGCTTACCATAAATAAAATAGTAAAATTCATGTTATTTAATTATTGCTTCATCACTGAAATTTTTACCATGAAATATAAGCACTAAGTAGGGGCAAATCATGTTAAAACACTTGAGAATGACATATTTATCTTAGTTTCAAGATAGAGAGAGGACTTAAATAAAAAAAAAGGCTCTCCTCCGAATGATGGGTCTGAATAATCATGTTTAAAAATATACCCTAAAAGTGCCTCAGTGATATGTAAAATTAGGATTTATTTCTGGCAAATATGGCAGGCAGACCATTAGCTCTGACACAGATTAGCAATAATGTTCTACTGATTGAAAAACTGGCTGCTGTAGATGTTAGACCTCCTGACTTTATATATATATAAAAATACATCTCTCTCTCTCTGTATATGTATACACACACACACACACACACACACACACGCACGCACGCACGCACGCACGCACGCACGCACGCACGCACACACACACACACACACACACACACACGCGCGCGCATGCACGCCTGCTCGCCCCCCCCCCCCCAGACACACACACATACACATATACATATATACATATATATGTATATATATATATATGTATTATATATATGTATGCTTATATATATATATGTCCCTTGTTCTTCTACAGTGGTAAAACTATTGCATGTTGCTAGTCAGTGGGGCAGTTTGTTGTACCCATGCCACATTGAATATTCTATGGAGCCATCTAATGTTGCTTTCACCTGCTGCTTAGAATATTTCTGTAGGTAATCTATAGCACCTTGTGCTTTTTATTTGGGTGACTGCTTAAATGACTTTAACTACTTCAGTAATTAGTATAATAGGTAAAAGGTAAAGTCAGGAGAGGTGAACCAGCCTCATTGCACACGGTTATAAACCATAAGTGCTATGCCGCCAGTATGGACACCTGATAAGAAACTGTCCGCCTGTGTTGCTGTCCGCACACAACTCCATAGCTACAGCGACCTTCCTCCATTTACCCCAGAGTGTTAACACTGGTACCGATTACCTGGGAACCGCCTGGTTTTGAACACTGGCTATGAGCTGCAGCGAGTTGCAGCTGGATTTGAAAGCTAGTCTTCTATCGACTGCGCTAATGCTGCCCCTTAAGTAATTAGTATTTCGGGTTCTAGCACTGTTGCTTTGTAGTCTTTGGTTGTTCTTTCCTGGCAAATTGGTTGTTTTTTCCTGGGGTTGAAGAGCGCACTGAAGTATTTTCTCTATCTTTCAGCTGTTTCGGGTGGGTCTATTAATGGTTTTGCTGTTTTATCGTTAATTACTACTGTTTGGTTGTAGCTCTCATCTCTTTTTTGCATAGTTTTTACTAGTTTGAAAAAATGTTCTGCTGGCTGTTTTCTCGCTTTCTGCTAATAACTCTCCAAAATGTTCCCAGGATTTTTGTTTTGCTTCCTTGATCCTCTGGTTGGTGTCTCTTCGTTGCAGTCTATAGTTTACATAATCATCATATCTCTTTGATTTTATTCACTGTTTATGTGTTTCTTTTCTTCTTAAATGCTTCTTTTACTTCTTCACACCACCAAGGCGAATACTTGTTATAATTCCATCTGCTTCTTCTCTTACTTTTTCCACATAATTCTTCAGCAATGTTAAACAAGGTGGTTTTATATACATTCCATTCATCTTTGGTATTTCCCACCAAAAGGCCATAGTTGTTTAAATGCTGTCTGTACTTTCTTTTGTAACTGTTTTTTTTTACTCCTCCTTGTTTCAAACTTGCTATCTTGATGAGATCATGGTTTTTATTTAATGTCTTGTTATGTTTCTTGAAGACGAGATATTTTGCTATCATCACGACTGTTTTATGGTCCGTATCACACAGACCATTAAGGATTGCTTTTGCATCAAGAACTCTCCTTCTTCCTTTGACTCTTGTTAATATAAAATCAAATTGGCTCTTAATGGAGTGTCGTTCCACCTGTACCTTGTATACTGTTGTGAATCTCTATGGTTGAAAAATGTATTTGTGAAATAGAGACAGTGCTGGCTGGCATAGTTTTAGCTGCATGTGGGCCCAGAAAATGTATTCTCTCCTGTTATTACCCACTCTTCCGTTGAAGTCTCCTATTACATATAGTATGTTTTTAACTCCAACTTTCTGTATCTCTTTAAACAGTTCATCAGAGAAATAATCTTTCTCCTCTTCTTTATTGCATAGGGCATTGATCTGTTTGTACATTTCTGCTTGTTCTCCTCGGTTAATTGTCAACTTTATTATTTTGTCTGCGTGATAACTCATGTCTAATATGTAGTTAGCTTTGTCTGGATGCACCAGGAAACCCACTCAATTTTTCTAAGTTGTTCCTCCTGAGTATGTTAAAAGATAGTCTCTGTGTACTTTCTTATTTCCAGTTTCCTTGCGTCTTATATCAGCTAGCCCCATTAATTTGATTTTACTTCTCTCTATGATTTCAATAATCTCTTCTGTTTTACTTTCCAGGCCTGTGGTGTTGAGTGTTGCAATCTTGTAATTTGCTTTTCTGTCTCGTGGTCCTTTAACATTGCCATGGTCAAATACTGTGTGATCAGTCCATTTATATCTCACTGTATATGTTGTTGCTGTATTAAATCCATTGCTGGCTTGCAAGGCCTGTTGCAACTTCACCAGAACTCTGTTGGCCAGCGGTCCAGTGGCACAAGGCCAAACCATACTTTGCCAGTTCCTAGCAATTCCCTACTTTGTCCTGTTACCACCTCTCATGATGGGGACGTGGGGTTGGGCAGAAGTAACTATCAGAAATTTATGTGCAGTTGACAAAGTAGTAAAAAGTGATGAATGGATGACAGTGCCGGCCAGTGAGAAAGCCCTGCATAGAGAGATAGTTACTTAGGATTTAAGGAAATGAATGGCTTGTGCAAAAGAGGCATTAAAGCAAGAATTGATCAGTGAAAATTCACACCCTGGTGATATCATTATATACACAGATGGAACTGTAGGGAGAGGTTAAAAAAAACCAAAAACAACAGTGGATGGGGTTTCATTGCAAAGCAGAATGGAATCTGTTTAAAGAAAGAGAACCTTACACATAACATCAAACGTCTAGCATGAGAATGGAAGGGGAAGCAATAATGGCAGCTTTCTGATGGCTGGAGAGTAAGTAGTACAGCCTGACATATTTTAATTTCTAATGGATTTTCATAGAATGCTTTGGAAAATAGAAATTGGTGTCTTGCACTCAGAGTGGCTTACATCTGTCTGTAAGACTCACTTCAGAAGCTTATCATGGATATTTTCTTAGAACATTTGGGTGTGCATGGTAATGAGCAGGCTGCTGTTCCTCTAGGTGGTGAGCTACAATGTGATAAAGCAGATGTAGTGAAGGCTCTGTTGGATTTAGTAAACATTGCTACAGAAAAGACAGAGCTTCAATATCTGTAGAGAATGATTCAGCTGGGAGTGAACAGAGGGTCAGGATAACTTTTTACCCACAAGATAAAAAAACAGGCAAACTTGATTTGGAAGTAGGTATCAGCTGCTGCTGGCTTTGATGAGATGGTAGCTGGCAAACACATCTGTTCCTTGATTTGTTGTTACATTAAAGTGTTAGAACATCTAAATAACCTGGAAATCAAGCATTCAGGGGATAAATAATAGTAATTCAGGAACTTTATTCCAAATGACCTACATTTCAAATATCATTTTTTGGGGGACATTTAGGAATTCAGAGGCAAAGGGTTAAGGTGGGATTTTCATGTATCTGACATTTTGTACATTATGATAGTGAATGGGGTGAAGGCTTTTTGGGATTGAGTAAACAATGCAATGTGTCCCCTGCAGTTTACTTTGATGTTTCACAGTTGCATGTGGCAGAGTCTCTGAGAGCTGTTGAGTAAAAGTGGGCTTTGAGTCTAGTGTCCTGTTTTGAGTATGAAGATAATGGGCTGTTGTTTGTACAATAGCTAGGGGATGCTGTCATGCTTTGGTCTTCATTACATTTGTCACCACTCAGTTCTCATTGTAGGTTTTAGATTTATCTTTGAATCTTTAGAGGTATTGGATGGGTTGAATGATGGGGTCCCCAATAAATTAATTCGTAACCACGTGTACTGAATGATTTTACACTGGTTTATAGTTTTTGGTATGCAATAAAACATTTAAAAAAATATTTTTATAGCACAGCAGGCAAACAAAGATACTCCACATCTCTCATAGACATGAGCAGATGAGATGCAGACCACTTAGTCATTTCAACTATTGCCACTAGAACAGACATTGACACAACTAAAAGTCATATGGACATTGTTATCAAACCTACTAATAAGGCAGGGAGGCATTAGTGGTCTGGAGAATAGACTTGTATGTACATGATAGCAACAAATAACTGAGTGACACTTGTTTTTAACCTACCAGAACATGGAACAGTGCAGCTTATAACTACAAAGTGGTAAAAGCACAAGCACAGCCTTGATCAAGGAAGATTTGCCTGCCTTGGCTAGCCTTCTTTGCCTCTCAGTTTAGCTTCTGCAAACTGTTTAGCTGATTTGTTCACATTTTTGTTTTTGCTGTTGACTGGTGCTGTGTATTGATTGCAAGAGTGGAATGTTTATTTCATTTTGCTTTCTTGTAGTTCCATTATGGCATGGCATTTTTTTTTTCATAGTCCTTTATGCTCATATCTATTAGTAGAGACACTGGGTGGTGGTCACTGTTGGTCATATACTAACTGTCTGGTTGGAGCTGAAATTTCATCTGTTGCTTAAATCAAGTAAGGGATTCTCTTCCTTGGTCTTGAGTAGAAGAAAGTAAGGTCTGTTTTATCGCTCAGTTTTAATCTTGTTTCTGTTTTTGAAGCTTCTGCCTTTTCTCTTCTCATGCTCAATTCATCATATGTCAAGCTTTGCAAGTGGCCATTGAAATCATCAAGTACAAGATATTCTTCCTTCTTTCTGTGTATCTGTGCAGTATACTGATAAATTCCTGTCTGGAGGGCAGTAAATATTATAGACAAGGCAACTATGCTTCTCTAGCCTGAGTTTTTCACCAATAATTTCAGCCTCCTGGCTTGCAGTGATTCTAATTTTGCTGGCTGGGATACGGTTTTTGCCATGGTAAGCACCAGTCCTAGTGTCTTTCCTCTTTGTCCATCCTAATGGATAAGCATTCCTTGACTTGAGTGTCAGATGTGTCTCCTGCATGCAGGCCTTGTCAGTCTTTGCTAGAGAACTAGTTTAAACCCCAAAAAAAAATTATAGATGCTCTCAGCATTCCATTGCAAATATATAAAGTTTCTGAGTGTTCTGTGTGTCTTTTTCTTGGTTTCAACAAATGATTTAGGACAATTTCTACCCAGGTGATTTTATTATCTATATACATAGTTCCGTGTTGAGAGGCAGAAGTGCCTGTGGTTTCATAGCAGAAGAGAATGGATAATGCTTACTGCAACAAAGCTTGACATAAGATACCAAAACATCAAGCTTAAGAACAGAGGTGGAGTCAGTCCCGGCAGCTTTCTGCTGGCTTGAAAACCAGCTGCACACACAAGTTGTGACTGCAACAGACTCACAGAGTGTACTGAGAAGAGTGAAGAATTGCAAGCAGTCAGAGGGGTGAGCACTGCTTTAAAGATCCTGGGTAGTTAGCATCCCTTGAATTTTTTCTGTATGCTTGCAAATATGTTGGGGAAAAAACATGCAGACATGATTGGCTGGCTCAGCATCACTGGAAAAGTGGGAAGGGGGAGGGGGGTTGTGAATTGATGCATAGCAAGCTAGATGTGGTCAGGCCACTTTTGGCATAATCATTATGGTCAGGAGAGAATTAGGCCGTGGGAACTGAATAATTGATTTGGCCAACACTCAACACTTGGAAGAAGTTACAATTACAATTCTTTGCTTTCTCCTGAAGATGGAAATGGAGCTGTTATGGGAATGTCCTAAGGGCTGTGACATTTATTCTTCCCAACTCAACATGTATGTATCTTTGGAACCTTCCCTGCCATTTACCTGATATATTGGCTCTACCAAACGGACCAAGCTTATCCACGTTTTTTACTACTGGGCCCAGACAAAATTCTTAATATGTGTCAATATTTATTATACATTTCTATGTGCATTGTGAGTAATGCACATTGTATAGTAACAACATGCAATATTATTATGTTTTTGCCACAGGTACATGACACTAGACTTCTCCAATGCTATGCAGTTGCATGATTTCAATGATTTGAATGCTTTTCCATGCAACCTCCGTAGTTTATGCATTTGCTTATCAGAAGTCATTTTTCTTGAGGGTTTTATGCGGAGAATTTATAGCTGTTTATCATCACTGGAAGTTCTGCACTTGATTGGTAAGTTTATTTTTTTATGCATTGAGATTGTTGCTTATTTATCTGTATCTGTTTTCCAGAATTGTCCTTCCTCTCTACATGCTTAGAAATAATCAAGATGTGCAAAGCTAATATTAAAACTTCATTGTTACAGAGATGCTTATTAGAATGTAAGATGGTAAAGTTTCAGCACACTCACACACAAATGAATTAGGCAGGAGTTTGTCATGTTCCTCTATGAATTTTAGCTGTTTTCTTGTCAACAGTCTTCAACACAATGCACAGTGAGGCTTCAAATTACTGGCAACATGCAATAGTTGCACCATTGTGGAATAACAAGAGAAGCAAGCAAAACAGGTTCGATAGACACAAATTATGGAGAGTAATGGCTTGATATGGAGTAAGTGAATACCTCATTAAAGTTTGCAAAAGCTACCAGGCAAACGGATGCCAGGCCTAGGAACGAAAATAATAGTAACATCAACTAATTACTCTTTTGCTGATGACCAGGCCTTGATTGCAGACACAGCCATTAATTTGCAACATCTCACATCCGTGAATGATGAATGTAAATCAAATAATTTAAGAATTAACATAAAAAATACAAAATTAATTTCAATAGGAAGAAAGAAGCAGAATCTAAATATAGCATCAGAGCATACATATATTAAACAAGCATCTGAGTTTAAATATCTTGGAACAACATTCAGTGAAGGTGGTAAACTGGACGAAGAAATTGACATCCGATGCAGTAAAGCTGGCCAAGTATTGGGACAGCTAGTCCCCCTCTGACAGCATAAAGCAATCCCAATTAGCACAAAGAGACATCTCATACAAAGCATGATCATTTCCACCCTATGCTATCAGTGCCAGACGTGATCACAACAAAACATAACAGACAATTATTAACCAAGGAAATGAGTTGTCTGAGAAAGACTGTAGGAGTGACCAGAAGAGATTTGATTGATTTGATTTGATTCAAGAACCGACATCACAGCACTCGGGGCATTCCCATAAGGGCTCCATCCCCGTCTTCAGCAGCCAGCGAAGAGTTCTGATACTAATGGTGCCAGTAGCATTCTGATTAAACATCTGTCTTGCCTTTTCTCTGCCAGCCAGTCTGTCCACCTGTTCATTTCCCAACACACCGGCGTAACCCTGTGAAAAAATCCAGACAATACTCCTCACCCTCATTCTCCGCAGCGAAGCATGCCACTCTGCACGAAGCATACCTGTTCTGATCTTCCTCAGCATGTTTTCTGAATCAGTTACGATCACGATGTGTGTGTGTGTGTCATGTTCTCTAGCTAGCAGAAAGCTGCAGTGACCACCTCCCCCTCCATTCATAAGCTGGATGTTGTGGTATCATATGCTAGGCTCTCCTGCGCCAAACACCGACCATTAACTTTTGCTAAGAAGGCCTAAGCACTTCTTTTGCCTCTTGACACTGAACCATCTGTGTAAATGATCAAATCCTCTAAGCCAGCATTATCTTGAATTAATTGCTGAATTTCCACCTCTGTGGCACCTGCTGGCCAGTCTCTGCAAATCCCGGCTCAACATGATTATGACTCTACACAAGTCCCACTGTTCAGATAGCACTTTGACCCACTCCTCTCCTCACCTAATATTCTCAAGGATGCAAACCTGTCTGATTATGTCTTCTGCATGAGCCATCCATGACCTCCCTCTTATCAGCCACTGACCCTTAACTGCACCCAGAGCTTCATGCAGAGGGTGGTCTGTGTCTGCAGCTATCCTGAGATATGACTTTGCGCACCTTGTGCCTACCTACAACCATTGGCAAACCAAGGATGTATCGCATACACACCACTGGAGTGTCTCTGGTGCAACCCAGAATGACCCGCATAGCCGCGTTCTGAATGAATGCGCTCTAGTTTGTCCATCTGACTCTTTGAGATGTAAGCAGTCCCAGGCCATAATCAACCACTGACATGATCAGGGGCTGATATAGTGTGAAAAGCATTCTCTGCTCTATGTCAGTTGCAGCCATAATCTTAAGTGCACTAAGTCCTCTTTAGCATCTCATTACAACACATGGTCCTCAAATGACAGGCTCCTGTCAAATGTAATTCCCAGATACTTCAGTTTGCTCTCTCTGTTGACGTTTCTACCATCTATTGTGAGACTTGGGACATTAGCTTTAACGATTCTGTTGTCCAGAGAACACTACAAAACAGACGCCTTTTCAGGGTGGACAACAGCGCTTATTTCTGTACACCACTCAGTCACTTTGTCTACTGTCGCTTGTAGCTCCTGGGCTGTTTGTTTCCTCTCTTCCCCCTGTCTATATGCAAGTATATCATCTGCAAAAGTCAGTCTCCTTCCAACTCCTGGTGCTTCTAGGCTCGCAATCTTGCTCGTATACACGTTGAAGAGCACAGGCGAGATGGCGGATCCCTGTGGCAGTCCTGGGGCCAAAGTGCATGGTTCTGAGGTCCATGAGCCCAGTTGGAGAGCAGTCCGACGTGAATATAGGACAGCTGCAACCCAATTCACCAGCCATAGATGACCTCCTTCTCCCTCAGTGCAGTCATTAAGATGTCATATCTCACTCTGTTATAAGCATCCTCGAGATCCAGTCCTACCGCCATAGTTTCCTGTCTGTTCTGGAACCCTTCATAAACGTCAAAAGTAAAAGTGGCCGCATTTGCCCAAGTGTCCTTTCCTGGCCTGTAGCTTCCCAGACCTCTTAGGAGAAGCTTCCCCCTTTCCAAAAATTCTTGCAGCTTTAATGCAACTATCTTCTCCAAGACCTTTCCAAATGTGTTTTGTAAGGTGATGATTCTAAAGCCACTGAGCTTAGAATGATATTTAAAAGCTTTTGGTAGTGGGATTAGATAGCTGTGCACCCAGTCCTGCGGTACTGATCCTGTCTTAATGCTCTGGTTAAAACAGTCGGCCATCTCTGCCAGGTCTACATCGCTCAAAGCCTTCATGTGACCATACCTGACTCCATCAGGCCCTGGTGTAGTGTCTTTTGCTTTTTTCAAAATTTGTTTGATATCTTCCATTTGTATCATGTCTTTATAATGCATATTCTTCAAGGTGCCAGCTAACTCCTTTCTAACGGCATCCCTGATGTCTACATCATTTTGATCTGTCTGAGCTATAACCCTATGGAAAAAAAGCCTCCCCTTTCTCCTTGTCTGTTGTCACACGCACACCATCGTCTCTACATATTGTTCCGACTGTCATAGGCCGATCTTTTCTTTGCATCTGCCTTTGCAGTTTCCAGAATTTCCCCAATGTTTTTTTGTCTCCCATATCATTCACAAAAGATTTCCACTTTGCTCTTTTGCTGCAGCACAGCGCTTGAAAACCTCCACCTTATCTTTTTTTCACATTCTCCGCCATCTCTACTTCCTCTCATGAGCTTGAGGGTGTTTGTCGTACTTTCTTTAACTGTTTCAATGCGGCTCTCTTTGCCTTCCAAGCATGTTCTACTTCTGGAGTCCACCATGGGGGCTGTAGAAAATTATTTCTGACAGTTCTGTTGCATGCTCCCTGTCTGAGGCGTCCTTACTGAGTTTAGAAATCAAGACTGAACATGGTAGGTGATCACTCCCATGGTCATTCAGGACAGTCCATTTAACATCTAAAACCCAGAACTGAGAGACAAATGTCAAGTCAATGGCTGTGTCACCATCTCCAGACCTCATTGCCATTCTAGTCGGCCTCCCATCATTGATGCAGACCATATCGGAGTCAACCATGGCCTCTGCAAGAGCAATTCCCTGTCGGTTTTCTCCACTGCTGTCCCATTCTCTGTTCCTCGCGTTGAAATCCCCACACATGAGTAACCTATCACCTTGTAACTCCTCCAATTCCTTGAGCCAGCCCCATTGTTCACTTCTGACAAAACAGTCTACCATGGCATATATATTTATGAGGTTCCAACTTAAGCAACCATTTTCCACCTGTATCCCTTGAACCTCTCTTCCACTGTGGTTCCACTGGCTCAAGTCAAGCACCACATGCTTCACTCCCTCCTTCACCACCAGACTTTGTACATGTCTCTCTTGTCAAACAGGGTTTATATAACTGACGTACCCAGGGAAACGATATCTGTCTGTATTTAGCTCCTGGAGCATGATGACATCAAAATCAAAAATCAACCTCTCCAGTGCAGGACCTCTCTGCCTAGCACTCCGACAGTTCCAGTATCTTACTCTTACATGATTAAAGCTCAGTCTCTCCGCTTTTCGTCTTGTTCTCCTAGCACCTGCCCTCCTATTTCTATGCCTTTTCTCCCCATTCCTTCGTCGTCTCCTCCTCACTCCCTCTCCATGAACTGCTGAATAATGTGTCAAGCACAGAGCCAGATGTCCAACGTTCACGACCAGCTCACCCTTGGCCATCAAGTTCCTCAGCACGCTTGTCCACCTTGAACTTGGGGGTTTATATTTGGAGTTTGCCGTCTCCTAGATGGACTGCTGTCCAAAGATAACGGGTTCCATCTACCTGGGGAAAAGGGTTATAGCAGCCCGAAGTGAAGTGAGTTATCAGTGAAGAAAAGAAGGAAATAATTAAAGAGATTAATAATAATATAGTTATAGCGCCCCGAAGTGAAGTGAGTTATCAGTGAAGAAGGAAATAATTAAAGAGATGAATAATAATTATTATGGGGCAGAGTGGACGGATCTGCAGGTGATGACAGTTAACTGAACAGCCCCGCATGAGTAGACTGAGGGTGTATGTTCTAACATGGACAAAGGACAGCAGAAGAAGGCACAAAGAGTTAGAAGCAATATTGCATTTTCCTGTCTAACTGTTCTGTGACTTCAGTTTCTTATTGAGGAAGATCTTCTCCAGGCTGATCCAGTGATATTCAAAAGCCAGCATCAGGATGAAGGCAGTCATGTTAGTTAAGACTACGATTTCACAGAATGGGACAACAATGCTGGCATCCTTGATGTAGTAGAGCCACTTCCGATCTCGTAGTGTATGTACAGAAGGTAGAACAAACGGCGACCAGGACAAGATACTGTTGATGAAGT